TAAGGAGAGACTGTGCAGCTCAGATGACTACCAAGCATTCTTGAAGTGCCTTAATATTTATAGCAATGGAATTATCAAAAGAAATGATTTGCAAAATTTGGTATGGTTTACAATATCTCTTGCAGTTATCTTTGAATTTTCGTATCATTCTTCTTATCTTTGTAGAATAATCAAGAAACACAACTCACTTATCTGTGCTGGTAGTCTAATTATATTGTTACATTGCTTTATGTGTATTTCAGGTGACAGATTTACTGGGCAAGCATCCCGATCTTATGATCGAGTTCAATCAGTTCTTGGAGCGTTGTGAGAATACTGGTAACTACTGAAGTTTCAGCTTTGAGTTGTTTTATTTGATATTTCTTGAAGGCCATTTCTTAACTTAAATGTTTCCTGCAGATGGGCTCCTTGCTAGTGTCATTAGTAAAAGTATGTAATTGATAGCTTACTTTTCTTTGTAATTTTTATACATTTTCTTATTCTTATTGGTGTTTTCTAATTTTCCATAGACCTGTTTGTGCTTAGTTTAGTCTTGTTCGATGCGATTTCTTTTCTTATGTATGTAAACTGCAATGATGTTTACTTCCTGATTGCAGAATCACTTAGTAGTGATGCACATGCATCAAGGCCATTCAAATTGGAGAAAGACAGAGAGCATAAACGCGAAATGGAGGAAGCTAAGGAAAAGGAGAGATCAAGGGAGAAGTACATGGGAAAATCCATACAAGAGCTTGATCTTTCTGACTGCCAACATTGTACTCCAAGCTATCGGCTTCTTCCTGATGATTAACTTTGATTTTTTCAACTTGCTAACCATGCATGACTAGGTACTGATATCGACATCCTTTGGTGTTTTTCTCCTAGTATCCAATACCTTCAGCAAGTCAGAGATCAGAGCTTGGTGCTCAAGTCCTGAATGATCATTGGGTATCTGTGACTTCGGGAAGTGAGGATTATTCTTTTAAGCACATGCGCAGAAATCAATATGAAGAGAGTTTGTTTAGATGCGAGGACGATAGGTAAAATTTGTCGGCCTTCCTTTATTTGTCCCAGTACCCTGTATGCAATCAATATCTATGTTGCTCTTGAATCTTCATTTTTCTTGAAGCAAGTGTCCGATGCACAGTCGGATATGGATATGTCTTACCTTCCATGGAAAAACTTTTGAAAAATAAATTAAGCATACCCATATCTGACATTCACACTTGAGTTGGAGTAACATAGATCAATATAGAGATTATTTGTCTCTTTTTTGTAATTCTTGAGAGCGAGTTTTGCTGAAGAAAAAGCAATGTGAACTTATTAGTTATGTTTTCTATTCCCTTTGAAGTTCTTGATATTAAGTCCTAGACATAATTAACTTCTTGCTTCATGGTCTTAGATTTGAGCTGGATATGTTGTTAGAATCTGTGAGCTCAACTGCCAAGCGTGTGGAGGACTTGCTGAACAGCATTAATGAAAATAAAATCAATATGGAGTCTCCATTTCGTGTAGAAGAACACTTAACTGGTTTGTTCTTCTACTAGATTGATTAAATTATGTGTGGGAGTCTGCTATGTGAACATTATTCATCTTTTTAATGTTTGCTTCTGACCCACTTACTGCAGTTCTAAATTTAAGGTGCATTGAGCGTTTGTACAGTGACCATGGTCTTGATGCATTGGAAATAGTACGTAAACTCCTTCTTGCATTGTCAGTCATTTTAACTCGCCTGAAGCAGAAGCAAGAAGAGTGGACAAAATGCCGTTCAGATTTTAACAAGGTTTGGGCTGAAATTTATTTAAAAAACCATGACAAATCACTTGATCACCGCAGTTTCTACTTCAAACAGCAGGATTCAAAGAACTGAGCGTAAAATGTGGAATTTCCATATGATAATATCATGCTGCATTTTCTTATGTTGCAAAATCCGATCGAAAGATTGATAGATGATTCTTAACAACTTGTTTTAATATGTTGTCTAAAAGAGTAGATTTAGAAACCATATGTGAAACCATTTAACTACATGTTTAATACTTATCTTTCAAATGTTGCAATATCCAGCTGAAGGTTATAATATTTTCGTTCACACTAAATCCAAAAGTTTGTTGGATTCTAAAAGTTTGGTTGCATGCTTTTCTATGGTCTCTTGAGGATAGTGTGTTGATTTCTATGCCTCTCTATATTCTTACCACTTATCTCGTATAGTCTAGTTGATCCCATTTTCTAATTGCAGCCTTAGTGGCCGAAATAAAGGAGTTGAAAGAGAAGAAACAGAAAGAGGATGATGTTCTTATGGCTAGCATTGCTGGTCACCGACAAACTGTAGCTCCACACCTTGAATATGAATATTTGGATGTCAATATTCATGAAGACCTATATAAACTTATAGAATATTCGTCTGAAGAGATTTGCTCGACCAAAGAACAGTTAAATAAAGTCATGAGGCTCTGGACCACTTTCTTGGAGCCAATGTTGGGAGTTCCTCCTCGACCTTATGGCAGAGGTAATGAGGCTGGTAAAGCTCTGAATCCTGTCATAAACTGCACCACATCAAGCATTACTGAAAGTGATGGAAATCCTGGAGCTGTTGCTGCTGCTAGTTATGGAGATGGGAACAGTTCACCAGTACAAACTAATTCTTGCAGAAAGGGCTTGACAAATGGGGAAACTTCACCCAACGAAGAACGCCAAGACCGTGTATATAGAGATGATTCAAATCTAGAGAAAAAGTTCACATTTAGAGCTGATAAAAGGCCCACAATTAACAAGCATACAAGTGGACTTGGAGCCCTTGCAATTGAAGCAGAAAATAATCACATCAGAAATGGTGTTGAAGGGGCATCAGGTGCGAATGTCAGAAAAAATTTAACATTATCATTTGTGATTTTCTTGTTCGATAACCTAGTTCTGTTTTACTTTTATTGTAATCATTACTTCCTTCCCAAAATCATGTTGCAATACTGAGTTTGAATTTCAAGGGTGCAACAGCATCTAAACCTTGCATTTCTGCCAGTGAGGATCATGAACCTGAAGCTAATGCTTGCCTCGTATATTCATTAGGTATGGATTTATGCCTATCAACTACTGTATTCCTTTGTCACTTGGTATCGGTTGCGAGTGTCAGATGCGGGTATGTGTTTGACACGGGTATACTCATCTTTTTCTAAGTTTTTATGTATTTGAAGGGTTCATAAAGGGTTATAACTTTGTCACCGTGCCCATATATGTTGGACACGGATACTTTAAGAAAAATGACTATGCAGAGGCTACATAATCCTTGTTGAGGACCTTGAGGTGGAAAAGCAAGGAGGTTTTTTCTTTTGATTTATAGTTGTAATATGCTTACACAAATTTGCTTGGTACTTCAGGGTGGTGATGTAACAAAACACGTTTCATTAGCAAATGGGGTGCCTACTGATGGCTCCAATGCAAGTAAATACCGTGATGAATCTGTTGGTCCATCAAAAATTGAAAAAGAAGAAGGTGAATTATCATCTAATGGTGATTTTGAAGAGGATAATTTTGTTGCATATGGTGATACTGGTCTAAAAGATGTGCCCAAGGCAAATCATGGTGGTGAAACCAGACAGTATCGGTCTATAAACAGGAAAGCGTTGAATTACAAGGAAGCTGGAGATGAAAACAATGCTGATGATGAGGATAGTGAAAATGCCTCAGAGGCAGGTAATGATGCATCCAGAAGTGAGTCTCCAGGTGATGAGTGCTCCCACGAAGAGGAGGAAGAGGTAGAACAGGATGAAGTTGATGGTAAAGCAGAAAGTGAAGGGGAAGCCGAAGGGATAGCTAATACACATGTGGAAGGAGATTGTGCACCCTTGTCAGTTTTGGACCGGTGTCTTCTCACGGTGAAGCCTCTTGCAAAGCATGTACCTCCACTTTTGTCTGGAGAAGCTGAAACAGTTCTTGCGTGTTTTATGCAAATGATGATTTCTATGTTCTTTTCAGACTTCATCAAGTATGTTGAACATCTAAAGCCTTTTAGTTATTTCTTCTAATTTTTCTCAGGCTTTTAATAAGTATTCTTTGATGTTTGAATTTTATTAGATCCTATATGAAAGAATATTTCTGCAAAAATAAATTCAACGGGTTCTGAAATGAAGTTGAAAATTCAAAAGACGCTAGTCCAACTGATTTATATGCCAGGTGATTTACATATAAATTTTATTTTGAAACAATATGAAAGGTCCAATCATTGTAATTTCAAAACTTTATCTTTGTACTATTCAGATTTATGAGTGCACTGTATAGTCTGCTCGATGTATCTGCTGATATGTGAAGTTTGAGGATGAATGTCGAGCTATAATAGGAACCAGTCGTATGTGTTATTCACATTGGACAATTATTATATAAATTGGTTAAGCAGGTTTGCTTTATTAAATTGTTTTTCTTTCATTATTTTTATTCGATTTCTCCTGCAGTTGTTCTGAATTGTAGTTTTCATTCCAGCTTCAAGCTGTCTCTGTCGATGATGGATAATAAGCTTCTCCAATTGTTCGAATATGAAAATTCCAGAAAAGATGGGAAGACAATGGATTCTGTGTATTACGAGAATGCTCGTGTGCTCCTTCATGAGGAGAATATACCGACTGAAATGTAAGTTTGCATGCTTCGCTATCTTTCTAACTCTATGTATGTTTATGCAATTTTTTGTCTGGGTTTTATTTTTGCAGTCGACTTCGCTATCTCGTTCGTCTTTCCAGCTGATGGACAATGTCATTGAAAAGCCAGGCATTTGCAGTTTCCATGGAACCTAACTTTTCAGCTTTTTTGCACAATGATTTTTCTGTCAGTTTTTCCCAGCAAAATGGATCCACGCGGCATTATACTGAGGAGTAGTAACTGATAATATGCAAATGTTAGGTTTTGTCAGCCTCTCACGTTATAATTACTATTAGAGATGATTTTAGCAAAGGACAGATTAGTAATGCTTATTTTGATATTGCTTCAGGTTCCAATTTTTCTTGAAGTATCTGTATGCAATTGCATAACTAAGAAAACATTTAAACATAACCATGTTGGATACATACCCATATCCTATATTAACACCCAAGTCCGATTCATGCATGCTTAATCTGCTTTTGTTTACTGATATTTGCAGAAACAAGAAAAAGTATGCAACTCTAGATGAATTTGCTGCTATTTGCATGGCCATGGAAGGTGTTGAACTGGTTAATGGTTTAGAGAATAAGATAGCTTGCAACTCGTACAAGGTATTTTGCAGTTAATAATGTCGTTTAATCTTTACCTCTCTTTCTTACATGACCTATTACGGACAATTGATGTGGTAGCATGCGTATCACTTTGTCAGGTCTTTTTTCTCTTATGATCTGTGTATTATGTTGGCAGATTTCCTATGTGTTGGACACTGAAGATTTCTTCTTTCGTAGAAGAAAATCACCTCAGAGCAAATCTTCGTATGATAATCAGGCAAGAGTACAAAGGTTCGACAAATTTTTATCGGCTTCACAATGATACACCATTGTGCCTCGCACTGGCAAAATAGTACGAAGCAAAACCAAAATCCTTAAATCTTGAGAGTTTTCCGGATCCGGTGTAGCCTTTGTGTTACTTTGTAGAGGCCTTTGGTGCTACCAGATCTTGATAGGTTTCGGCAACCGGGCATGATGTTGCTTGTATGTTAATAGTTGCTGCTAGTTGGTCATGCTAGTAGTGAAACAAGAAAGATTGGGAAATGTAGCATATTTGTAAGTTGATATGAGAAAAGGTCTGCCATTATTGTGTAAATAGATTTATAAAAGAAAAAGAAGGGTTTGTGTTCTCATCTTTATTCGCTTTTCTACATTTCCAAGGGCTGCATTTTTCTCGTTCCCTTGAATTTCCCACCTGTTTCCAGGAAGCTGCAGTTTCATAGGGGACTCTCCGAGAGGAAAACTACATACTTAATCCCTCACTCTGCCTAATTCTTAGGCTCTGAATTGGAAAGAAATAAGGAAAATGAAATGATGGAAAATCTAAAGACATTAGGAAAATTGGAAAGATGGAAGATTGAAGAGTAAAATGATCAAAAGAAAATATATTCTTTCTTTCATTACTGTGTTTGGTGAAAAAATTGAGTAAAATAATTTCCTTTCTGGTAGAGGTGGAGAATAGATGAGAATTTATTTGGTAAAAGTGAAAAATAAGAAAGAAAAGAAGAGTTACTTGGAAAAGAAAATCATTTGCTTGGATTAGGAATGGTAGGGGCACACTCATTGTGGACATTTAAGACCTTTTTGATGACTTCCTGATATAATTACTCATCTGGAAACAAGGAAATTAAAGTGCTTTCTGCTGATGAACCTATATCCGCTATTCCGATGACAGTCTTGACAAGTAAGAATCAGTTCTGCTTATTTTTCTTTCATTCTGGGGGAATAATTCTACTGAAAATTTTAATGGTCATTCGGTGATACAAGAGAGAATAAGACGTAGCAAATGTGCAATTACACTCTTTGAAACCAAACGATTTCTACATTACTTCACATTCCTTTTCAGGAAAGGAACTGAAGGGAATCAATATTTTGCACAATTTCAAACACGAAATCGAGAAAATATAGCTACGGACAAATACATGAACGTACCAATATATTTATTTTAACAACACAAACAAAATCATGACATTAAAAATTAACAACAAAAAGGATAGAAAATCCACACTTTTAGCAAGTTCAAACTCGAGTGAGCTTAATGTTTTGTACAATATGCTGCCTGCATCATATAGACAGAATCTGAAATAACAATGCAAACACGCTCATACTTGGTCTCACCTTTCAATTTAGATAAGGAGGAAACAATTTTCAAATGAACAAGGTCCTTAAATTAAGTACAGTACTCAAGCCAATAGTTATGTCATCAACTCTTCATATTTCTTAAATTACTCGTACAGTCATACTCAGATTTTCCGATAGACAGATTTATAGAGTTATCATCTCAAGGTTCTCCAAATATATAGAAAAATTTAAAAACAATTAAACATGCCACATCGAGCAAGCTATATCTTACACGTCCACTCCGAGTAACATTATATAGAGCTGCATATAGGTTAGTAATTTCATCCTATATTTTCAAGTTCTCAAAAATGAATCAATAATTTATGATAAAGCAGGCTGCAGAAATTTTTGATGTGATAATCATTAGTATCTTCAAGGGAAATGCATATTATCATATTAACGAAAACTATAACCCAAAAGAAAAAAGACAAAAATGGAAAATATTATACATTTGTCATACAACTTACTTTACAATAACCCAATAACACAACTTAGATGCAATCTGTTTTCCAAGCCTCTCAAATGATGACCCAGTAGCATACACCTGCCGGAAAAAAGTCAACTTGATGTCAAATTTGTAACCCAAATGCAATAGTGGAAAGAATACGGAAAATAATAGTATTAATACATTTGATATATTACAAGTGGTTATTGATCTTTTTTTTTTTCTGCCCTTCAAAATAAAGAATTTGCTGCATTTTCAGTTATGCTATGAATGAAAATCCAGAATATCTTTCAAATAAAGAGCCCCTACATTTTCCTCTTCACCCTTCTTCTCGGCAACTACAATACACTCGAACCTAACTTGTAAAAAGTGGGGCATTAATAAAATGGAAACATTACCAGAAAAGCAGCTTTGCAAGGTAACGGGAAGTGCCAAAGTGCCACAATTTTCATCAGCGGCATCTTGATGATTCCCGTATTTACTATCCTGAATCTCTCATACTGGCATCCTTGAAGAACCTTTGCAATATATTTGGACAAGCTGATGGATCATTTCCTCCACTTGCTCCGATGATGGTTGGGATAATTCTGTCACCTGAAATGAAGATTATAATTAATGAGATGATTTTTCGAGTTAATTGTGGTATCAAAACGAAGTTAATTCAATCTCATAGCAAGATAATCTAAAAAGCAGCACTTTATGGTCATTACCATGTCAACATCTAAGGATCGTAAATACTCCAACAAACCATTCATGTTTTCCCCGCCACATTCTATTCGCACATTCTCCTTCTTTTGATTACTTAGTTCCTGAAACAACACACACCAATCATCTTTATCAAGGGAATCTAAATACACATTACATCAAACTATTCACAATGCGTTGGTACTAAGATCCATCAAATGGAGGAAAATGGATTCAACATTAAAGAACAGCTCGAATATGTAAAAAATTTGAAAATCAGTAAAAGAAGGTTCAATATAACAAGATAAGGGCAGTATTAAATCGATAGCCAAAACATGTTTAGCTCGGATAAGATAACTTTGAAAACTTGTACAAGAAAGTATAACATAACAAGCTAAGGACAATATTAAATCAAATGAATAAACAGGTTTGCTGCTAGAGCACTTCCAGACACAGTCAGGAAGAAGAAATGTAATCACTGCAAACTCAGTAGACAACCAGACTGTAAATAACCAATTGGCATGTTTTCAAGCAACAAAAACCACAGGTAATTCCCTCAAAGAGATAACTACTTCTAAACTCAACATTAATCATCAAATTTCATTTCCTTTTCATTAGTTTCCTATTACATATTAAGCAAGCATAAAAAATATATGGTCTTTTTCTCAAAATAAATGGAAAAAGGCTTCAAATTTTGCATCTTTCAATCCTCAATTAAAAAAAACACATAATGTGTATTATTAGTTACAATTTATAATTGTATATACTAAAATCATCACCTCCTCCATATCAGATAATTCAGCTTGCAGCTTCTCAATATACTTCAAAGCCTCAGGCGACAAATCCCTGAAAACCCTCGGCCTTATATCCTCCAACTCATCGTATTCACCATTTTCACCCTCTACCTCCTCCCTATTCTTCTCCACTACTTGTACTTCTCTCTGTCCCTGCTTAACGCCCTCCTCCGTATGCTTCACCACCCCATCCGCCGGTGCAGATCTTTCCAGATTCCTCGTCAATGAAATCCTATACTCCGCGTTCCACAACGTATATCTAAAGAAAAATATAATCTTTTCTAAATAAACTAATTAATCAAATCATTAAAAAACACTTTTTGGAGGCTGAAAATAAGATATTACCCGGTGATAATAGATGAGAAGAGAAGGCGATGAAGAGGAGGTTCCGAGAGGGAAACCAAAACGGAGAATTGAGCAGATGGGAGAATTCCAAGCATGGAGGAGATAGTTCGTTTCATTGCTTCTTTGGCCGAATCGGAAACCCCTTTGGTAATAACAGAAGTGTCGAGTGGTTCGATGTGTTTCAACATGTTGGCTATCACTACGAATCCACGATCCAAATTCGATTTCTGCGTTGAAACAGAGTAGTCATCGCAGCCTCCGCCATCGTTCAAGCAGCAGCTGACGGATACAGCGGGAGAAGGACGGTTGCGAAAGTTAGGAAGGAAACAAGAAAGAGAAGGTGAAAGAGGTTTGGCTGACAGCACGGTGACGCGGGAAAATATGAGAGCTCGGACCGTGGCTATCGATGCCATCGGAGATAACGCTTCTGGAGCTTTCTTTTTTTCCTCTTAATTTTCTTACCCCTATTAGCTTGGTTTCATATTTTTTTTTATTCAATAATACAACTGCGGTTCGGGTGAGTTTGGGCTATCATCCGATTTTATTTTATTTTTTTTAAAAAAAAACTCCAAGATTCTCGTACTTTTAACGAAATTAACGTGATCATCATATTTTTTCATATTTAATATAACCTTTAAATTTAAAAATAAATTTAATATCTTTTTAATTAACGGTTTCTATCGTTAATCGTTATAATATTAATATGACATATCGTATTAACTGATAATTATGGTGACTGATATGATATGATAATGATGAGGGTCAAAGTGATTTTTTTAAAAAATTCAATAAGTCTATAAACTTAAAAAAATAATTTGACCCTCAAATCTAACTAAAAAAATTAATTTAACCTCTGTGTCACATCATTAACCATGTCATCAGCCGGAGTTGATTATCACGTCTAGGGTTGTAAATGAGACGAGACAGATCGTAAGTTACTCGAGACCGACTCGATCAAGGCTCGATAAATACTTGGATCGAATGGAATCAAGCTCGAGCTCGACTCGAGCTCTTAACGAGCCGAAACGAGCTACTCGATATTCGACTCGAAAAGCTCGTGAGCAGCTCGAAAAAAATGTTATATTATAATTTTAGATTTTTTAAAATTACATTATTAAAAATATATTATTGATAATTATAAAATTTTAAAAATATATTAAAAATTCTATAATACAACTACCCTCAAATTTTAATATTTTAAATTAACTAGACCAAGTCCAATTGTTACATTGAATATTACTAAAATAGAAATAAAAGCCTAATTAAGCACATGTTAGATTACACATGTTTTGTTTATTTTTTCTTTTTTTTAACTTTTTACTACACATGTACTTGATAACGAAGAAAAATAAAATAAAAAATTAAAACAGTCAAACAATAGAAAAATTGAAAATGGTTAAAAAATAATTTTGAATAAATATTCTTATATTTATTTTAAATTAATAAAAAATTATTTATCTAATGACAAATATTTAATATATTTCTAATGATAATATTTTTGATAACTAATTTTTTAAATTGTTGTTATATTTTGAGGTTTCGGGTTCAAATATCATAAATATCAAGGGTTTGAGCATTTAATATCAATATATTATATTGTACTTACCTCATAACTAATTTTTTATTTGACAATAAATATAATATAATAAAATTATGATTAAATTTAAATATTAATAATTTAAAAAAACATATCAAAATAGAGTGTAACCGATTTATAAAGAATTAAGAAAGAAAAACTCATTAGACTTACATTAATATCTTAATTAACAAAATTAATAGCATCAAATCATATTTGAGAGAAAATAATCATCCCTACTACTAACATGTACCATATAAGTAAAACAAGACAAATATATGCATTACTAGATTCTACTCTGAAAAAAAGTAATAATTGCAGAGTTAAAAAATCAAAGCATAAATAAAGAGAAGACTGAGAAGAGAAGAAAGAAGAGGAGCATAAATTAAAAAGACTGAAGCTTCTTATTAGATTTTTGTTCTTCAGAAAGTAAAAGAAAAAAAAAGTCTACTCTCCCTCTTTTCATTAGGCCGTCTCATTCCTTCTAATTATGTGATAGGGTTTAGAGTTTAGAGTTTTAGGGGTTAGTGTTGAGGGTTCATAAATTTAACTAAGGACTAAATTTAAATAAAGTAAAAATTAAACACACAAATCAAGAATTAAAACAATGTTTAAAATAAAAAACACACATAAATATAAGGGACTTCAACTTAAATAATCCAGAAATTACAACTAAAACTAAAATTGGGAAAATAATAAAATCGGGACAAATAAATGGATAAATTAAAAAAAAGTCTTTACCAGTGACTAAAGTATAAATATATGGCTACATCTAGGGGTATTAGAGTTATTTACCCTACATTTAATATATAAAAACCTAATTATAAACTAACCTAATATGAACTAAAACTATCCTCTTCAGCTGTTTTGCTCTCTTCCCTCTATTCTTTTCTTCTTCTTCCCACAACCGAGAGCCTCAAAGGTAAATAGATCTCTCTCTCGTTTCTATTTCATTTTTATTTTAGAATCTGAACCAATGAACTAACCCCTAACACCTATGCAAGGTTTCCCGAGCAACCTTCAATGCTTCGGTTATGATGCTTCATTATTTTCTACACTCTAAGCTTTATAAGGACAAAGTTGTATGTGCCAGTTCCATTTACACTATCTAGTGCAGGTTTATGAGGTCTTCAGCCATATGACATTAGTACTCGCTCTAACGCTGACTGTTTGGGCTCTTCCATGGCAAATAAACTTTTTATAATTGTTCGGAAACAGGTATGTTGTGCTCGCATGACTCTTAACCATAGAGTGCTTTGAATATTGACATTTTGTGCAATTTTTAGACGTTATCTCTAAAATTTCTGTACTGTAGATTTGACTCAAGGATCTTAGTAATGGTGGTTGTTTTGACTAGCATTACCTTCAATTGGGCAGGTCAGTCATCCAGATCTGAAGTACAAAAAGATGGGTCTAATTGGAATCTTGAAAATAGTTTCATGTCTAGGAGAAAGTAATGCTACTTTATCATCGCCATTTGAGGTAGGACCTAGTATCAGTGTACCTCCCTATCCGTGACCCTTGGTGATTATATTGTTCTTTAGTTGCCGATCACTTTATCTTACTTTAAAAGTTGCAGCATATTAGTATTTTAACTGTACATTCGACGTGTCATTCATGTTGTGATCTTCATGGTGAATTGTTGTTGTTTCTGTCTTTTATCATGCCTGTCGTTTACCCCCGAATCCAAAAGATTGTTCAGAAGAAAAACAAAAGCAAGAACCTGCTGAAAAATTCGAAAAACTTTATCTTTGTGTTTATGCGTAAGAAGCTACTGTAAAAGTTTCCTTATATGAGGTTAATGGTTTGAATTATTGCTTTGATTGAGGCATTATTGGCATTAAAGCTGATGGTCAGAAAGTCTACCTTAGAGCTTGCAGCGACTGAATTCCTTCTACAACACTTATGAGAAGGATTTGATGTAAATTGATAGTTACACTGTCACTGGTGCTAGTTAACCCACAAGCAGCCTGAAGAACATAATTTTTTCATCAGTTACAAGGAACACTTTAATGTACTTAAATTGTCAACAGTGCATCCCGAGTCCAGACCTATGAATATGATATGGATTTTACAGTAGTGCACCAAACGTATGGGATTAAAAGTTGTGCTTGAAACAATTGAAATCTATTTCTTCCAATGTTCAGACCATAATAAAAGCTAATGTATAACTGAAGTTGTAGCCTCTGGGTAAGGTATAAAGAAAAGTCTCCATGCCTCTTCTGCAATCACAGTTTCAAAGGGAGTCAAGAGCTTCTCTAGGATAAAAAATAATTGCACTAAGGCCTCCTTAGTGAACGAACAGTTCAGATAGGTTGGATGGATCTTAGGCTGAACGATAGTTTTGCAAATTATAGGAAGAAAGCAGAAACTGACACTGAATCTACCTACATTTTCAGGACTGTATTCACTGCTAGAACTATTTTCCTGCATAATGCTTGATTCTTGTCAATGTTTACTTTTTTATTGCTTCCAAGTGCTTGTAAGCATTGATGGTGTGGTGAAATCCTTTCTCGTCCTTTCTACTAACAGGAAAATATAGGAAACTTCTTGTCATTCTCTTTTCCTGCATAATTTTCTCTTCCAGCTGCAATTTTCTTGCAAATTATAATATGACTATTCATACATTCATATTATAATGTATTGGTGATGGTTGATTAAAGAGAAAATTATTTATATATTTTTAAATGTAATATATGATTTTTGTAGGTTCAAATTTGAGTTTGAGTTCGATGAATCGAGCTCGAGTTTCTGAATTTTTTTGAGTTTGAGCATTTTCGAGTTCGAGTCGAGTTTCAATATTATCTTTCGAGTCGAATTTGAAAATTTTAGGCTCGCGAGTTTTCGAATCTAGTCGAGCTTACATTTAAAGTTTTCGAGTTAGAGTCGAGCTTGGCGATACTCGAGCTCGACTCGGCTCGTTTACACTAATCACGTCAGTATCGTAACGATTAATAATCAAGATTGTTGGTCGAAAGATCATATTGGATCTGTTTTCTAAGTCGGATCATATTGAATGTGAAAAATACACGAGAATCACATTAATTTTTCTAAAAATATGAGGACCTCACTTATACTTTTACTATATTTATATAAGACTCATTTAATTCGGTCCAAAAGGATCAATTAAATAATTTATTTTTAAGAAATTGTTTATAAAAATTTTGTTTAATATATTTTTATTTCCTCTAATTTCAATTATTAGTAGCGTTAGGACTCGGTTGCAAAAATATACTAAATTCCCACTACAGAGCATACTTTCGGTGAATTTCTTGAAAAATCTCCCTAACCTTTTTTTATTTTCTGTCAGACATCGTTCAGATTTTATTTTTTGATCTAACATCCTTTGTAGAAAGACGTGTTTCAGGGGCGCACCTTATGTTAATCTGGCGTCACGTGGGGAAAGGCACGCCCCTGAAGCGCGTCTTGTGAAATGTGTAAAAATTTTGGGTACTAATTTTGTAAATATTTTTAAAATAGTGCCTAATATGTAATTAATTTATATTAGGGTGATATTTGTGTAAAAACATCAACTTTATTTATTTATTTATTTTGTGTGTGAAAAAAAACTTTATACATTAAAATCTTTAAATATTCTTTTGCAAATTATTTTATAACTCGATAAATTTTGATTTTTGCATGAAACTAAACAATACGTATAATCTAGTATAGGAAAACTTTGAGGGTAAGTATTTTAAAATATGAATAATTTTATAAAAATTTTATAAAAGTTTTATAACTAGTATTTCTTTTTCATAACGATGATGACGATGATAATAAATATTTTATAATTTAAAAAATTATAAATTTTATATATTTTTGAAAAAAAAAATTGACTTTATATTCTTTTTATATTTAATTTTATTCAATTTTAATTCTTTTTTTATTGCATTTTTATACTTTTAATTACAATCAATTAATAGATCAAATGAATTATTATTTTTTTTAAAAATCAATAAAAATACAATAAAAAAGAATTAAAAGTGAATAAAATTCAATAAAAACGTCAACTTTATATTGATTTTTTTGTGATATTTTTTAACAGTTAATAATGTTTATTGACTTTTAATATTAATTGTTTAAAAAATATAAAAATATTAAAATAAATTTTTATTTACAATTGATAAATTAAATGAATTATTATTCATTTTTTTTAAAAATACAATAAAAAAGAATTAAAAGTGAATAAAATTCAATACAAAAAGAATATAAAGTCAATTTTTTCAAAAAATTATATAAAATTTATAATTTTTAAATTATAAAATATTTATTATCATCATCATCATTTTGAAAAATAAATAATAGTTATAAAATTTTTATAAAATTATTCATATTTTAAAATATTTACCCTCAAAGTTTTCCTATACTAGATTATACATATTGTGTAATTTCATGCAAAAATCAAAATTTGTCGAGTTATAAAATAATTTACAAAAAAAATTTTAATTACAATTGATAGATCAAATGAATTATTATTCATTTTTTTAAAAAATATAATAAAAAAGAATTAAAAGTGAATAAAATTCAATACAAAAAAATATAAAGTCAATTTGTTTTTCAAAAATATATAACATATATAATTTTTAAATTATAAAATATTTATTATCATTATCATCATCATTTTGAAAAAGAAATACTAGTTATAAAATATTTATAAAATTATTCATATTTTAAAATATTTACCCTCAAAGTTTTCCTATATATATTATACGTATTATGTAATTTCATGCAAAAATTAAAATTTGTCGAGTTATAAAATAATTGTAAAAGAATATTTAAAGATTTTAATGTAGAAATTTTTTTCACACAAAAAATAAACACATAAAGTTGATGTTTTTACACAAATAGCACCCTAACAAAAATTAATTTCATATTAGGCACTATTCAAAAATATTTACAAAATTAACAACCAATAGTCACTGAACTTTGAGTAAATTTTCATTTTCTCCATTGAACTTTCAAAAGTTATAAATTAATCACCAATGTTATCGATTTATGACGAAATAATCACTCGACATTAACAATCGTTAACGTAGGTAATGGAAAATTGAGCTACAGGTATTCATGTACTTAAATAAATATACTTACAAGTGTTCAATGAACATGTTCATGTACAGTAGCGGAATCTAAATGAGACTAGAGGGGTTAATGCCCCTCTAAAATTTTTAAAATTATAATTTAAATTCTTAAAATTTTTAAAATATTAAATTTGACCGTTCAAAATTTTTAGAAATTCATATTAAATTTTAGAATTTTAGAATATTCTTATTAAATCTCCTTCCATAACTTTAAAATTATCATTAAGGTTTTTAAAATTTCAAAAAATTTAGTATGACCCTAATTTTTTGGGGGAAAATAAATTAAACCCTTTAAAATTTTTAAGAATTTTTAATTAAAACTCTTAATTTTTTTAATGTTTAAGTTAGCCCCCAATCTCTACATCAAATTCTGCCATTGTTCATGTACGTTAGATAAATATATTCATAAATGTTAAACGAAAGAACATGAATACCTTCAAAAGTATATAAACAAACACAAATCAAACACGAACACTTTAAAAATAAACAAGCAAATATAAAATATAATTTTATTTATTCAAACTTTAATTCATGTACACTCTTATAATTTTATTTATTCAAACTTTAATTCATGTGCACTCTTATAATTTTATTTAATCAAACTTTAATTCATGTACGCTCTTATAATTTTATTTATTCAAACTATAATTCATGTACACTCTTATGTATACTACTTCATAATAACTAAAATTATTATAAAAATAATCGGTCAAAGGAGCCAACAAATTAATCCAGATTCCTCCAAAAATGGGAATGGATAAAAGGTTTGGCTTAAATGCCCCGTTATCACTATATTATTTGTATCGAATTGTCATTAAAATATTTTTCAAAACGTTTTATCTTCTGAATTATAAAATGTTGCTTCATTTACCCCCGAATCGTTAATACAGTTTATAAAAATTCACAGACCAATCTGAAGCAGGTAGCCAATAAAAACAACACAAATCAGTGTCTTTTTATTACAAATTTTTTATATAGATCTGCATCTGTAAGAAGGGGGAGAAATCGGAATTTTCAATCTTAAATCTTGAATAGTCCTTTCTTCGGCTTGAAAAGTCTTCACCAAAACACAAGTAATAACCGTAAATTTCTAACTTTATTTTCTTTCATTTGTGAAAAAGAAGAAGGAAGTTTAACATCCCCTGAAGTTAGACCCCATTACATGAAGACCAGGCTTTGATATCAAAACAGAGCAAAAGGGCCCTGTTTGGAAGAAGGGAAACAACAACAACAACAACAAAAACCCTATTCCCATATGCACCCCCAAAGTCCAAAACATGCCTTTGTCCTCCTACCTTGGCAACACCCGCCGCGGCGGAGGGCGGGCTCAGGCGTTGCTCCCTTCTTCATCATCCACTGTCAAATGCACCCC